CCCTGTCCCATGGGAGCTGCCCCGCCCCAAGGCCACTGGGGCTCTTACCAAGGCACTGGCAGCTGAGTGCTTGGAGTCCTTGAAGAAGGTGAGGATTCCCCCTTCCAGCACTGTCCAGGAGGAGCTCCAGTTCTTCCTGGGGAGGGGAGCAGGGGTCACACAGGGATAGCACAGCCCCTTTTCCCTGCCGGACTCGTGTCTCCAGTGCCAGGGGACACCGGGATGTCCTTACCGGAGCCGCTTCCCTCTGTCCACTGTCTTGGTCCTGTTGAGCACCCCGGCTTTTTCGAGGCTTTTAAACTGGAAAGTGAAGGTGGGGGTGTCAAATTTGGCCCTCGCTCTGCCTGGTGCTGGGGTGAGGGCTGGGTGTTCCTCCCTGGGTGCTCACCTTCTCCTCCCTGCTGCCTGGGACTGGTGACACGGGGCTGTGCCAGGCTGAGAGCCCGCTCTCCTGGCTGGAGCCGCTGCTGGCCCGCTCATGGCGGGAGGGCACCTGGGCAGGGAGGGCTCAGGTGAAGCTCATGGCATCCCATGGCATCCCCAGAGCCCCTGCAGGCCCTGCTCTGTGGGCTTTGAGGATGTTTATCCCTGGCAGTCATCCCTGTCTGCATCTGTCCCTGTCCCCAGTTCTGTCCCTGTCCTTGTCCATAACCCATCCCTATCCTCATCCCTCTTCCATTTCCTGTCCCTTTCCCTGTCCCCATTCCCATCCCAACCCTGTCCCAGTCCCTGTTCCCATCCCTGTCCCGTACCCTGTCAGGGGCGAAGTGCTCGGGGTAGAACACGAGTCCCTCAGGGTGGCCGTGCCCGTACCAGCCTGGGGATGAGCCCAGCTCCTCGGGGCGCCTCGGGGACAGGCACAGAGAGGCCCTCTGGTCATAGGAGCCCACAGGTGAATAGTCCTCCTCAGGATAACACTCCAGCTCATCTGGAGACAGGTCTGGATAATCCGTTTCTGGAGTGGGTGGCTGGAGAGAAGAGGAAGTTCAAGATCTTGTGCCCAACCAAGAGATCTCCATCTCTGTCTGTCGCCCAGGTGGGCACTGCCCCATCTCCATCATCTCTATTCCCTTCTCTGTCTCCATTCCCATCTCCATCTCAATCCCTGTCTCCATCTCCGTTCCCATTCCTGTTTCTATCTCCAACTCAATCCCGGTATCCATTCTGTTCTCCATCTTCATCTTCATCTTCATTCCCATCTCTGTCTCCCATCTCCAACTTCCTCCCCATCTCCATCTCCATCTCCATCTCCATCTCCATCTCCATCTCCATCTCCATCTCCATCTCCATCCCATCCCTGTTTCCATCTCCATTCCCTCTCTTTCTACATTCCTGTATCTGTTCTCATCTCCATCTTTGTTTCCATATTCATCTCCATTTCATCTCCCATCCTTTCTCAATCTTCAGATCTGCCTCCATTTTCATGCCATCGCTGTTTCCATCTGCATTCTCATCCTTTCCTACACCCCTGTATCCATACCCATGCCCATCTTCACCTGTCTCCATTCCCATCTGTCTCAGTTTTCATCTCCATCTCAATCTCCATCTCTATTGCATCTCCCACACCTTTCTCAATCCCAGTCTCTGTCGCTGTCTCCTTTTTCATCCCATCCCTGCCAGGATGCTAGGATTTCCATCTCCATTCCTATTCATGTCTCCAATCGCATCCCTGTCTTCAATCCCATCCCATTTCCATTGCCATTCCTATTCATGTCTCCAATCGCATCCCTGTCTTCAATCCCATCCCATTTCCATTGCCATTCCTATTCATGTCTCCAATCCCATCCCTGTCTTCAATCCCATCCCTTTTCCATCTCCAATCCCATCCCTGTCTCCATTCCCATCCCTGTCTCCAATCCTATCCCTTTTCCATCTCCATTCCCACCCGTCTCATTCCCATCCATGTCTCCACTCCCATCCCCATCTCCACTCCCATCCTTTTTCCATCTCCATTCCCATCCCTTTTCTATCTCCACTCCCATCCATGTCTCCATTCTCATTTCCATCTCCAATCCCATCCCTGTC